GGTAATAACAGTGAAAAAATATGCCTGACATCAGGCAGTATTTTTTTCAACATTAAATCCGTGGACCGTCGTAAAAACGAACAAAAATTCCCATACACCTCTCGACTGCGCGTCCAGTGAATAATGAAACAGTTCGTACATCGGCGAACCTCCGCGGTGAGTAGGAATCTGCTTGTTGAGAAATCAAATATTCTTATCCGATCTATCTTCGCGAGAAATATCGCAGACACGGCGATCGTAAAATTCATTGAGAAATGCATCGCGATAGTCCGATCTACTGACTTCGACACGTACCTACCTGCTAACCGTACGCGAAACCGTGACTAAAAGGTCCGCCTTTAACCACCGTATGTTTCACCGATCGTCCGAAAACTTAACGACGAAACCTGCTAATAAAAATGATACTTAACGTTGCTGAAATTACTTCGACGACTATTCTACATCCAGTGCTCAAGGATAAATCGTCGCATCGTGTGGAATAATCTCGGGAACTGAAATTATTATGTACTTTCAGAATATTTTAATCTGAATTTGTATAACAGACGTTCGTTATTTCATTATTTGAAGAATCCTTAAAGAATCTGCATAAGGAACAGGTTAACACCGTGTTGTGCAGATTCCGAAAACCAGTATCATAAATAGCAGTGCCGTTTTTCTTATCGTCTTGGTAAAGTAAGAGGACAGAGCCATTGAACAGCGACGTACGATAAGGACCACATCTGCGAGAGCAGCAGCAGCAGCATTCCAAAAGTGAACTGAAATATAAGAATGGAAAGGAGTTGCGAGATTGCGGGGGCGTGTTGGGGGCCGGTTAACGACTTAATACACCGTTCGGCGGGCAACGGGGCCCGTGATCGGTCACCGGCTGCGTGGAGGTCGAGAGGGGAGGGCAGGGGCACGTGTGCGGTTGCGGCCGCGGTCGTCGCGACGCCTCGGAGAGGGAGGCGGCGGTGCGCCGGTAGTCAGGTGCGTCGCGTGCCCCCTTCTCCCGGCACGTAGTTAGCTCGTGTTTTGTTTTGAGAAGGCTTAACAGCGTCCGTTCCCACGCTTCCGCGCGCCGCGCGCCGCCGCCACGGACGACGATTTCGAATTCGTTGCGCGCCGCTGATTTCGCGCTCGAACGTGCCGCCGCTGCGCGTCGCCGTGTATATTCCGTGGGCAACCGCGAACGACCGTCACTGTCGTCGCCGATCATCATTCTTACCAGCGGACGCGATGCTACGCGTTTTCACGAACCGCTCCGGTCGTTCCTCTGGAAATTGCTCGGATCGTGATTTAAGGATGTATAGGCTATGTACTTAAACAATACTAGCATGTTGAATTTGTTATTATATTCCTATTACTATTAAACAG